AACAAATGCAAATCAATGTCTGTAAGCTTAGGGTAGACTCGTAAATTGGACCTTGTCTGTTATAACCACAAGCTACTTTCTTGACATATTAAAGCTGCTACATTCAGGCACTAGACCTGACCCCTTTTTATTTTTCCTCTAACCCGTATGCTTTATGGTAGTGCCACTCTTTACCTCGGCGTCGATACAAGCAATGTGTTGTTCAATCAAACCTCAGTTCAGCTGATGATGATTTAAAATTAATTTTGTTTGTTTCAACTGAGGTGCCAGTTCGGCACCTTCCACAAAAGGGATAGTGATTCAAGTGGATGTGCCACATTGAAACGCACGGTGAACGCATCCCTAATTTTCGGGGGAACATTTCCTTCACAGGCATCACATTTCATTAGATTTAATTCCAACCACGCATTATCTGTAAGAATGAGTTTAGGAAAATGAAAATACTACATTCAAGAAATTAACAGAAAAACCCGAAATAAATTACGAAGAGCTGGATGTATTGCTTGATATTTGAAATAACAAAACACAAATCCATTTTTCAACTTTTGAAGGTCTACTCCTTGATCTTCGTGGGAAACCAGCTCGTCAGAGCTCTAGTTTGGATTCTAGTACAACAGCAAACAAGGCAGTGGATGGAGATCGCGACACCTTTATGCATACAGGTACATTCAGAGATTTATTCTGTGCTTCCCCTGTAGGAGTGTTGATAGACGGGAATGTTACTAGTCAGTCGATGCTCTTTATTTGATTTTTTTTTTAGATTTGAAGGCACTTAGGCCTATGGTAACTAACCTTGTGAGCTTGTAGCCTGAATTTTACTGAGACGAACCTTAATAAGCCATACTGTATTTCTTCTTGTTTTATCACATTAAGTTTACAGTAAAATTAATGTTAGTTCTCATATTTTGGGGAAGTTCAGCCAAACCGAAATTCCCATACGACAAAATTACGAAAATCAGGATATAAATTCTCAAATTTGCCTTTGTGTTTTGTCCTTGAATCATTTCAGGCTCCACTGGAGACCACTGGTGGAAAGTTGATCTAGAGGCGATCTATAGCTTGGCAAATATAACTATTATCAACAGGAGAGGTTTTGGTGAGAATGGCCAATTAAAAAAAGATAAATGAAAATGTTATTTTCTAGCAATCCTGTTAAAAATTAACTGAACACTTCTGCCATTGTGGTATGCTCAAAATTTAAGGCTCCTTCTTCCCTTAACAGCTCAAGAAAAACGTGTACCTCTTGTTTTTCATAGTGTCTTATCCGAAACCCCCAGGCCACAGACTCGCAGGTGCTGTAATACGAGCCGGTTTAGACCCATCAGACTTCTCACTGAACAGAATGATAGGATCGGTCTCCTCCAGTCAAGCTACCAATGGAGCAGTGGTTGATTTCATGATGGGCCCGAACGTCTCTGCTCGATACGTCAGTGTGGAATTGGCTGGACCTTCGCGTATCCTTCATATGGCTGAGGTCATGGTTGATGAAGAGATTACTCCTACAGAAGGTTAATTGGAACACTGGAAATGCTGAGCCTTCAAAAATGAATTTCCATCGAAAGGCTATCAACGAGAATGCCTACTAAATCTCGAGCCTCGATTGCATTATATTTCAAGCTTTGCTGAATATAGCTTAGGATCGCATCCATGACTAACAATTTATCCTGAGCAGAAGGGAGGGGGCATGACCTACTTGAAATAGTGTGGGATGTGATGATAAAACAACTGTGGCTCTAACAGACTGGATTTTTCGTCAACATTTTTATTGCAGAGACCATGTAAATCGCACACAGTTTGATTGTTCAAAGTATCGACACATTAACAGACCTTTCGACTGTAAAATGCTTGGCACAACACTGGCGACCCTCTTAAAGGCAATATTTATTATGCCTACGGTCTGTGATTTTTCTGTCGTTGGTCAGCAGAAACAAATTCAACAGTGACTCCAGTTTCAACTTCAGGCTCAACTACAACCGGTCAACAGGACACACTGACTGAAGGTTTGACTATTTTCACTTGCAATGTCTTCAATGATTTTGAATGTCTGATGATTTTTTTCAGAAACATTCCCATCAGATATGAACTTTCTACAGATTGATTTGAAGTCAGCGTTTCGAACGAAAATAGTAATATAGCAGCAAATGAAGCAGCTCATTCTTTCCGAGAAACAAAAATGTTAAACCCTTTTATTATTTGCAAGTAAACAGAGTAATTTTTTGAACTTGTTTGCAGGCAATCCTTCAATTACGGAGCAGGGATCAACTATTACTTCAACAACAACGTCCATAACATCTACTGCAAGTCGAACTTTGGTATCGACCAAACCACAACCATCCATAGAAACGATCACAAAAGGTTACGTTTTGGGAAACGTTTTGATTATTTATTTGATAGTAAGCCCCACAGCTCATCATTTAGAGGAAACAAAGCCATAAGAATACTTCGCAGACAAATAGCCTGTGAAAGAGGTAGACTTACTGGGGGAAAGAAAGCAGGTTTTTAACAGTAAATGATTAAAAATACATAGAGAATTTGTCTTAAGATAATATTACTATGATTATCTTTGATATGTAAACGGACATTCTCTCCGCTACCGAGCAAGGTTCAACTGCCACTTAAACAGCAATTCCCGAATCCCATACTGCGGATTTAGCATTGCTGTCAACAGCAGCAAACCCATCCACAGGAAAGGTCACAAAAGGTCAAGTTATGGGTTCCAGATAGACAAATTTAGATTGAGATAGAATATCGAGGATCTTTGTGATTATATGTCTCGTCATACAAACCCAACAGTAACGCTCATTAATGTCCGTTGCTGGCATCTTCTAAAGAAAACCTCCACCAATCGTCTCGATTTTCACCGCTCCATCAACATTAACCTACTGATAGGAAACATTAACTTAAGGTCTTTTCAATTCACCAACCAAAACACTACTTACTGGCGGTATGTTCGACATCTTATTATTTAAGGAAGCAAAGACACGCATGGCAGATCCAGTTAAAAATTATAGAGCGTATGGACTGTTCGAAGCACACCATCTGAGAAGAAACATTTGATTTTGTCACGAAGATCTTTTATATGAACAAAGGCATTTCCTACGATACCGAGATATAAGATATACCTCAGATATCAAATCAACTGTCAATACAGTGACAACTCCTGAAATGTCTTCGGAGTTTTTAACCATTGTGTCAACGACCTCAAGCACATCCACGTAAACGGCAACAAAAGGTAGGGTTATGTTTTGGGGTTGTCACTAACCTAGTACTTGGTAACTAAGTAACTATTAAAAGTGAGCAATGGAAGCTTTGGATTATTTTTCATGAGCAGAGTATTTGTAACGCCCGTGACAATCAAACTATAGACTACTCTGTGCTCCGTGTTTTATTTTGGTCAAAAGCTAACAATTTCGTTCAATATCATCTGTTATCTGTGTTCTCCACTGATACAACCTCATCGATAGATCCCATATCCTTTGCAGTGCAAAAACAAATAGGCTAAAAACCAATGCCGATTCAATCAGGTCAGGTCTACACCTTGACTTGTTTTGTTCATTCGACCAAATAAAAAATGCTAAACCAGTAAAGGTGATAGCTCATTTTTTCTAGAAACAGCAGTTTTACATGCTTCACAGAAAGAGATCCTGCGGAAGTAGCAGATTGAGTTTATAAAAGAATGTATAAAAGCGTGCAGGATGTAGATGAAGCGACAAACATGTAAATGGCAACCCCTATAATTATTTTTCAAGGGTTTAATAAAATGTGTCATTGAATTGTTTGCAGTCATTCCTTCCGATTACCGAGCAGGGAGTAACTGTTTCTTCAACGACTTCTAAAACGTCAACTACAGCTTTAACTTTGGTACCGACCAGACCACGTCCTATCACAGAAACGATCAAGAAAGGTTACGTTATGGGTTTCAGATCCGGAGTGAAAAGAAAGCAACTTCTAAATTATTAACGTGAAAATAAGTTTAAATTTAGAGCAATGAAGCCTTGGGAAACTTTACAGAAAAATAGCTGTGAAAGAAGCAGATTCATAAAAACGTGTGAGGTGTCCATCGTACATTGATTCAAAATGAATAGGGGATCCATTTATGTCATGAATCGATAATAATTTTTTAATTGTATGCAGACTTTCCACCGATTACCTCAACTTCTGAAACGGTTACTGCCGGTTTAACTTGGGTAACAACGACATTAAGCCCGTCCTCAGAGACGGCCATAAAAGGTGAGCAAGTAGTTTCAGGTAGTTAAGTACCTATGGTACAACTATTTCAAGTGAAGTAAGGAACTGACTGCAATACAAGATACAAACAGCATCATGTGATGATTGAGCGTCTTAATTTTGACAAATAACAAACTACAACACGACGATTAGGAAACCTCCAATGTGCTTCTGGATAGCTAAGGGGGCATAGACCGCATGCTTAGAACGGTGCGGAGTACGCCTTTCAATGAAACGTTCAAGCTCCCAATATATATATTCAATTACTTCTGTTTTGTGTTTAAGTGCCTGGTCCGGTCCAGAATCTTCATTGGACAGACAGAACCAACTCGACAGTCACTCTGGACTGGGAACCACCAATAAACGCAAATGGACAAATCCAAAAATATATCGTCCGTCATTGCCACAGACTTAAAGAGTGTGATAGAAAAAAAAAGAAGTAGTGACGGAATAGAAGCTTTAACCTATGACTTCAAATATTCGGTCTGCTCAAGTACCGATACAAAAGTACAAAATACGTATCAACACTTTTTGATACAGTACTTTAACTTTAAAAAATGTAGTTGAACTTTAAAAATATGTAGTCTCC